TGCGCTCGAGAGCTTTCCAGGCACGAGCAAATGGAGATTATGACCGAGCTATCAAGTTTTACACGAGTTATCGACTGCAAAACAGAGTGAAAATTGAGCCGAAATTCCAGCTCGCTGTGTGTTTAGAACGAACAGGTCAAATCAGACCCGCGTTAGCAGCTTACAAGCAAGTTCAGAGACTTCCCGGTGGACAACATGCCTTTGCGTTCTATAATATGGGCAATTTGTGTATGCGTGTCGATAAAGTAGCTCAAGCTGTCGACTATTTTTCACGTGCGATTAGTGTCAGCAAAGACAAAAAAGGGTCCAATAGAGGATCAACCCCAAGTGCATTTTATCGACAGCGAGCAGCAGCGTACCGTAAGAATGGAGATTTCGAGAAGGCCGCACAAGATTACGACCTTGTTCAAAAGAACTCAGGGGGCTCCACTACCTTGGTAGACGAGAGTGTGATGTACACTGCTGAGCACCTGTACAACACCGTGAAGCGTGCCACATCTCCGAAGAAAAGAATCCCTCAACAAAGTGTACATAACGATGAAATAGCACGTGGATTGGAGATCGAACCTGACACAAACCAAGACACAAACGAGTGTCAAAGCGAACCTGATGAGACTGAAGATGCACTGACAGCTTGGACGCTTCAGCGCAGTCTGGAGATTGCTCGACTTCCACCGTCTGAAAGAAGCGACAGTGACCTTCAATACCTCGTCGATTTGATGCAGAAAAGATTCTTAGTTTGCGCGGCGTTGAATCCGGAAGTTTGCAAGCTTTTATGTCGTGATCTTGTGCTAAGTCCCGATGGAGCTCTTCCAGCCCAAACACCAATTTTTATGGAACAGAATGGTGTTGAAGCTCCACATGATAAGTCATTGTATTTTATTTTTTCAAGGAAGAGTATCTGTCTCAAAGACTGCTGGTAGAATGTTTCAGCTGTCGGCAGAGTACCTAGAGAGCTCTGAAGAGCGCTTTAAAGTGCAGGAAGAGCTGGATGAAGCTGAAATGGGTGCGTCCGACGTCACGTGGGAACCTCCATGGAATACTTATCAAACACCCGTTAATTCGGACTGGAAGCAAACGCAATTAGAGCTCTGTGAGCTTGAGCACGGAGATATTTTTGGTCACCAAGGGAGGATTACAAACGCTCCACGGTAAGAAACAATCGCTATTAAAAATATTTGACTGCTAATCAAATATTACTGTAGAGCGTATTCAGCAATTACGACAACAACGTGTGTGATAGGGGCTTTATCGTGGCATCAGTGGAGTCGAATTGACCGTGCACAACACGAAGTCGAGGTAAGTAATCTCAATCCTACAATAGTAAATATTCTTTTTTAAATATCGTTTTATTTTCCTAGCGAGACCGCGCCGCTCGATTCCTCTCCATGGCCCCAGCGTTCAATAATATCCCCGTAGTAGATATCCGCAACCTTGCAAACCGAGTACGTCCGCTATTAGTCTAATCAATATTTTTTTCTTACAGAAAAAATTCTTGTATCAGTCTACATTTGTCAAGGTCATCGGCTCCAAAGTCGTGTGCTGTGAAGGCCAGTCTGTGAATGGGCTGATACTGGTTCGAGAAGGCGAACTCTGCAAATTTTCGCCTTGTGCACCACCTGATATGTCCATATCATTCGCACTTAGTGGACGCCTATCTAAATCTCAAAGCGCTCGACTATTTTACACACAACTTGAGACTGCAGGGGATCCTCTGAGCTTTTTACGTATTAATGAGGCGCATCATGGATTGTTTCCACAAAATTACGTGAAGTCCAAGCAGCGGGAGCTTCTGCGAGCTGCCACTACACGACCAAAATCAACCAATACCAGGCGAACAAGTGTCGCTATCAACTGTATGGGGACTGGAAGGGGGACAACGCCAACGCAATCGGTTGCGCTGGCACTGCGACGTGGAGAATGTTTTTGTGCGTCATCATCCTGGGTTCCACCGCGCCAGTCTCGACAAGAAAAACAGCAGATTCATGGAATATCTTGCGCCAAGGCAGCGTTGATATCGGTCTCTACAGTAGAGCTTCTGTTCTTGTCGGCTGCAGATATCATGCAGGGATTCTCTGCTGATAGCCGTTTCCCATTCCAACTTCCTCTTTATTTATAGGGGAACATGTCCTTGAGGAAACAAACCTAAGTTTCAAGAAAGAACTGTCCCGGTTTTACAGAGTTCCCACCGCGGGAGGAAAAAAAAAATCGCAATCTGTTTTAAGACCATTTAGTTCGCAGAAATACACCTTGGGAGACCAATTTAAAACAGGAGACTCGCTGGAGAGTGTGCCTTCGCGGACGCGACGCTGACCTTAAAGGCAGCACATGTATATGTTATGGGATTTAAATTCTTACTAGCAGAGGATTCATTTAAGTGCGCATTTTTATTTAATCTCGTTCAAAAATTTAAATTCTGATTTCCTCAATGCGCGGAGAGGGTGAAAACACATTGCTTTTTGTGATGTCGTTCAGCGATTCTACGTGTGGAGCATGGCGTTAGTATGATTTAGCGTGTAGGTTGCGAATTAAAATCACGTAAATTATACTACTATCGAGAAATACCTCGTTTTTCTTACCGATATGGAGAGGGGGGGGTATGTGACGATATATTGTCAAGAACTCTGACGCTGAGTTAATTTTTTTATGACCCGCTTTCAATTAGTATCCTCTCCCAGGAGGGATATTCGTGCAGCTTACTACTGTAGTACTTGTACTAAAAATTGTAATTTTTTTAACACTCAAGAAATCTACATCCCCACAAACAAAAGCAAAACCCCAAGCACACGAGGAATGCACTGAAGTCCAGTGACAAAACGAACCGAACTAAGCCAGCGTTAGCATTTTTTCTTAGCGTCTTCAATTGCTTCAAATCAATTGATAAACCATCCTTCAAAACTCTTGAAACTACGGTCTTACTGGTTCTTCCACCACTTCTTCGACTTCTTAATGTAACTAGCGTAGTTCTTGTGTTTGTAGGCTTCTTGACCACGTCCTTGTAACTTTAAGTACTTGTATGCCCCATCCGCTTTCAAGCAGGGGGACTGCCGAGTTCGCAGCCACCGCTCTGCTAGC